TTTTTTTTTAGCCTGGTTGTGCAGATGCAATGAACAGGATTTTATCTTTCTTCTATAAATATTGGTTTACTCAAAGCAGATGTTTTATGACAAATCATTTGAGGGTGTAGCATTGAAGTGACATGAAATAAAGCCTCTTGAGAGCAGAATTGTCTGGAGAAAAAATTGACGCATATGGGGGAAAAATAATCCAGCAGTATCAGTGCCACCGTAGTGGAAAAAACCAATGTGTTTATTTTGGTGAAATTTCCTGAAAGAAATTGCTTTAAGGTGACTGTGATATTATAGTGGAGTTCATAGTCTAGTTTATTGTATTAATTTGTTTTATGGTAAGATTTCATTAGTTCCTAAACAATATCTGGATGTAATAAAACAAGGATAAAATATTTGTAGGTAACTCTAGTACTTAAAAATGAGCGCTCAGAGGACTGTAAGAAACAGCTTTAGATTGAAAAGGAACAGGTGGATCAGAAACAGCAGAACTTTTTGAGAGACCAGTACAAAGGCTCATTACTTTTTTTCTCCTCCCCATGTTTCCCCCCTCTCCCCCTTTCCTTTGAGCTTGGACTTTTGGGAGTTTTATAACTATGACAAATGTGCTTGGTAAGTGCAGAAGAGCAGGAAACGCTGTGCCTTACTGTGGAGTTTTTACCCAAAGTGCTACCACAGGAGTGGTGTGAGACCTTGTAGGTGAGAACACTGAGTGTTTGTGCTGGATCAACAGCCAGAAATTTCACAGAATCACAGAATGGTGGGGGTTGGAAGGGACCTCAGGAGATCATCTAGTCCAACCCCCCTGCCAAAGCACGTTTCCTACAGCAGGTTGCACAGGAAAGTGTCCATGTGGGTTTTGAACATCTCCAGAGATGGAGACTCTACAACCTCTCTGGGCAGCCTGTCCTCAGTGCTCTTTCACCTGTCTGTCCCTGAAAAATGTGATAGAGTAGTTAGTACTTCAAGCAGCAGAGTTGTATTTCAAGACTGCTGTAGAAAGTAACAGTATGGAATAGTTCTTCAATTTATCTTTGCATCTCTTGGATTACCCAATAGTTCAAATGTATAAAAGAATGGTACAGGTAGAAATGTGTTAAAATAACTGAGGCCATAACTCGATGCTCCAGCCTTGTAGACCTCCATCCCGAGGAGGGGAGAATGCAGACAAGCATCAAAACCATTTCCCTGAGGACTGATCTTTAACAGTTCCACCTTAGTAGTCATAGAGCTATTGCAGCAATGTGTAAGATTAGTGGAAATTTCATTAGTATCTACATTTTCAGTAGCCCACCTTAACTACTTAAATCTTGCTCTATTGAGCTTCTTGGAGAGAAGCTAGTAGGCCTCTAAGAATTGTGGTCAGGAGGTGCTTTTTATGGTACTAGATTGTTTTCTAGCTTTTTAAATAGGGACAGGAATTTGTAGTCTGTAACTGCAATAAAAAGGATTGTACTTTCCTTACTTGTTCTGCTCAGCAACTGGCATGTAAACATGTTGGAAGAACCTATCTGTTAAAATCTAAATCGAAGTAGTGTCTGTTCTTTGAAGTAATGCAGGTGGTCTGCTTGGCTTTCTTTGCAATAGTTTTCTCATTTCAGACCTTCTAACCAGGTGTCACACAAAGAAACAAAACAAACCCAACTTAACTGGGAAAGTTAGACACTCGAAAGGGCATCTTTCCATCCCTTAGATGAGCAGGTTGGATCCCTGAAGTAAGTATTCTTATACATTGTTCAGCCTAATTTTAAAATTCCAGCCTAATGGGGTTCCTCTGGGAGATCTTTTTGCAGCCTGCTTTATATCTCTTGCTGTTATGAATTATTTGCTGATAATCAGTTTCCTATTTCTTAATGGGATTTTTTTTTTTTAAAGAATGCTTTCTGAATTTTACCCTGGTGAATTATATGAAATAAGTCCTTTTGTATTTGCTCTTTAAATAGCTGTTATGTGATCATTTTGGTTTTGCTCTGTTTAGCAAAAATGCATTAAAAAATGCACAGCTTTCTGGCTCCTATTTCTTGTATCAATCTTTCCAGTTTCCATTTGTGTTTGTTTTTTGGGTTCTCTGCCATTGTTAATCCCTTTCTGTTGCTAATAGTGAAAAGCAAACTCAGTAGCCAGTCTCCCAGTTTCGAACTGATGGAAGCATAGGTATCACTTGAAGTAATCTAAAATGTTTTTCAGCCCCAAGAAGTGATGATCAGCAATGAAGCGAAGGTCAAATGACTATGAGAATGGGAATGTGTGAGTTAACAGTGGTTGCAAAGGGACTTCTTGAATGAATTCAGTGAATTCAAGAACCTGGAGCCAGGCTCTTCTCAGTGATGCCCAATGGTAGGACAAGGGGCAATGGGTGTGAGCTGGAACACAGGAGGTTCCGCTTAAACTTGAGAAGAAACTTCTTTACAGTGAGGGTGACAGAGCCCTGGGACAGGCTGCCCAGGGAGGTTGTGGAGTCTTCTTCTCTGGAGACATTCAAAACCTGCCTGGACGCCTTCCTGGGTAATTTTGTTTAGGTTCCTGCTTTGGCAGGGGGATTGGACTGGATGATCTTTTGAGGTCCCTTCCAATCCCTAATATTCTGTGATTCTGTAATCAAGTAGTGTTTGAAAAGTCATAGTACTCTTTGAAAGCAAATATTTATTACTGATTTATTAATTGCTTGCATTCAATTTGTACACAAAGCTAAAGTTACACTGGACTGTGGTAAATTAGAAATATGGAGATAGTAAAAGGAGGAAAACACTTTGATTTATACAGTGAAAATGCTAGGCACTATTTATCACTTGAAGCCAATGTAACTGTTTCATATTTTCATATAGTTGAAGGAAATCCTCCTTGTTCAGGGGACATGAGAACCCTTCTAAGTTTGGGCTTTGACAACATGGTTATCTCTGACTCCAGCATACTTGAATTAGCAAACAACAGGAAATTTCATTCATGTTTTTCAGAAACATTTTAAAGGAATATGCACTATAATCTTAACCCTGCAATTTAAAAAATGTGATTCCCTATAGAAAAGCAGATTAGGCCAGATTAAGATTCAAGTAACTAATTTCAACATAAATGCTACTTGTTGTCCAGCTGAACTTGTAATTCTTTCAGTTTATCAAAATTGTGGTTTTTAATTTGTTTTTGCCACTTTAAAATCACAATGTGACAAAGAGAAGACAAAGTTAGTTCCTTTGAAACACTTTTCATTTTTTGTAGTGGTTGAGTGATTAGCATACAGATATTTCTAAATAGCATTCCACAACTTTTAAAAATTAATATTAATTCTTCTGTTGTACATATGACTTAGTAGTTTCTGTGTATACATATCAATTATAAATTTCAAGTGCGGTGGCAGGAAACGAAAATTATGATTACTTGTACTTATACTACCTCTTGGTTCTAGGTGTTGTGAAAACTTTTCTTGTGATGAAGGTTTCAAGTTGTTCATAATAGAGAAATCTGCTTTGATGGATAGAAAACAGCTGAAAGATGAGTTGTCTTTGTTTTCTCCTTAAGGAGAATAAAAGTGGAAAAAGGTTAGTTTAATCCCAAACCGTGGTTACATTAATTCAGACCTGAAGATATCTATTCTACAAATTGTAAAGGACTTCCCAACTCTTGATAATAAACACAAGTAGACTGGTAAATAACAAACTTCAGTAGTTTAAGATCCATAATGGTAAACCAGCCACAACTGTATTTGACACAGAATTAAGATCAGACTTTAGCATCATCTCTCTCAGCAACAGGAAATTTATTATGTAAAATTGCAGATGTTCCTAGGAATTGGGCCACGACACAGGCAAGATGACAAAATATGTAAATAAAAGTTCCCAAGCATTGTTTTCTGATATGAAATATTTTCATGATAATCACTTTATATGTGAAATGTCAAACAAGTTGTATCAGCTTACGTACACAAGAGACTTTAATGTCATGGCAGCCACAAGGATACCCTGTAAAGGAAGTGAATTTCCATTCTTCAGTGTCCATTCTTCAGCATTCCCACCCTTTTTCAGTTTACTCTGAGTGTTAGAAATACGCAGTTTGCTCCGCACAGTTCAGCAAAAAAAAAAGCAGGAGATGTTTTAATACGAAATAATGCGGTGCAAAGACATCCAGTGAAGCTGTCTTCCTAACTCAGGTGGAGATGCCGAAGCATCTGATGCTCTCAAGAACCGCACTGCAAGCTTTGTTTTTTCTTCTCATGTTTGGGAAACTGAGTAAGTTCCTACTTAAAACAAATTAACTTGCTTTATCTCCTGTCAAAAGTTTGTTGATGATGCAAGATTGTGTGTCAGCTTTAGACCTGATCAGACTAGGTAAACTTCATCCATTGGTATTTTAGGAATATCTGTTTTTAAGAAGATCTATTTGTAATTAATGTTTTAAGTAGCTATCCAGAAGACAACTTGAATACATGTTTTTCTGTGTGTGTTTCCTTTTTTAATATTATCTTACATTTTGTTACTAAATGTAATGTTTTTTTTTTAAATTTGCCTCTGCTTTGGTTTTTGGTTTTGGGTTTTATTTGGCTCTGTCTTGAATCAAAAAAGTACATAAGCATATCCTTAGTTTAAACGACTTCAGAACTTAGCTGGGCTGGTTCCTGCATGTCTTACACTGTTTACTGAACAGTGGAGTATTTATCATCCCTGAGAGGTCTGATGTTTGTCTGTTCATACCTGAATGGAGGAATTCATAGATGATTTTCCCTGAGCAAGCAATACTTATTATTTGTGCATTGATAGCTCTGGCAACAAACTTGTTTCTAATCTGTTTAGAGACAACATATTTTCTGTTGTCTCTAAAAGTGAAACATCTATGCTGTGTTCACAAGCTAGAGTAGTGTTTAGGAATTATCGGTGGTGTGTACATCTATTTTTTGGTATGATACATGTTTCTTCTAGAAATCTTTTGAGTGGGCTTTTTTTCTTTCAGCTGATCTTATTTTAAGTCTGTAATTTTAATAGCTAAAGCAGCACAACAAGGTAGAAGGTACATTCAGTACAATGAATGAATCTGCAAAACCTTCTACGCCTGCATTGCTCACCTCTTTGGATCCCATTGGACCCATTGGAATTAATGAGTTTGCTATCGCTAAAGTTAAACAGGTACTTCTGAATTTGCAGGAGCAAGTGTTTAATCAGGTTTTTTGTTGTTTGAAATGTCAGTTTTGTGAGAGTTCTCCATAAGGAGTTAGAACTGCAATAGGGAAAATTCTAGGGATTGAAACAGCTTTAGTTTTGGAGCGTTAGAATTTACTTTGAGGTTGTGGAAGAGGAATTGTGCTTCTCTGAGAACCGCTGTCTTACCGTTAGGTTGCACGTACTGACCTTGTCTCACAGGTTCTTCCTCTTAGCAAACTTGTTGTCGGGTTGTGAAATATGAATACATTGTTAAAAAAGAAGGAAAAGGAGGAACCTTATTGGCATTTTATTAGCACTGTTAAAAGCATCGTAAAACTAATGATAGAAAAGTTAAATGTTGGCATTATTTTTTTTTTTTTTTAAAAGTAATTTTGAACTAATTTGAAATCCACAATTAGCCTGGATCACAGGTGGCAAGAAGTTTTAATGATAGACTAGCCCAGGCCTTGAGGAAAATTATGCATAATTATTCATAACTGCTATTTTTGGCTTGCTTGCATTTGTCCTAGACCTCTGCCTGAGGAAACAATTTGAAATAATTAGTGTGCGAGTGCACTGACAATGATGAATGAATCAAATGCATCTGGTGCCAAACAGGGATCATGATAAGAAGCAGATAACTTTGGCAACTGTGGATTTTTTGTTTTTCAGTCTCTGAGACTGGGAACAGTTTGTTCATTTTATTAGGTTGACATGCTCAAGGTAGAAAATTACCACTCACAGGGCCATGATCAAAGTGCAGCTAAGAATTCCAGCATTGCGAACACGAAACAGTTCTGCAGACTGCCTGCACAAATATTCAGGGCAAAGAAAATGAAGGGGGTATTAAGGCAGAACATTTTGAACACACAGGTCAGAAAAGCCAAAAGTTAATGTTCTGACAGCAAAATGCCTTGCTTATCTTACATAGGTTGCAGGCACATTTTACGTAAATATTCAGCAGCGTAAATACAGCTGCATGTCATTACTCAGGGCAAAGCAAAAGCAGAAACAAAAAGATTCTGTTCGGATTCATGCATTTTAACTTAGTTGAGAAGGCTTCTGGAGTCTTCAGGGGTGTTTCTTTCTCTGGCTTGAGTGCTCAGTGTCTCATCTATGTAATTGACTTTACATGGGTTTAGAATAGGATGAATATGAGGTTCTTTTTAAATACAAGTGTTTAATGAAGAGGGGAAATAGGGCATTTCAGTTACTATGCCCAAGATAGCTCATTTTTTATCTTGTTGGACAACTGAAAGAACTCTTAATAGTTTTGAGTTTTCTCCTAATAAATTGAATAAAACAAGAAGAGGGCACAAGATAGTGTTCAGGTCAGTGACTCAATAACTTAGCTATGACTGGCAGTTTCTCAATGCAGAGATAATGTGGCTTGTAGTTACTACCTTGAAATTATAACATCAGGAGTAAAGTTCTCTGAAACAAATGTGGCTGTAAAGAGATTTTTTTTCAGACTGAAATGTAAGCTATAAATTTGATGGAAGAGCTGACAAGTTGGGAGTTGAGCTTTTGTCACTTTTGTTTCTAGGTGTTTCAGATAAAGTTGTTACAATGAAGATTTAAATTTTCCAGCTTGTCAACTGCTGCTGTATGTGCTGTCTTTTAAAGGAGCTTCATAGTGACACACATTTTATGCATTTGATTGGATCTTAAACTGTGTAAACTTGAACAGGAGGAGTTTAGTAAGTCTTCTAGCTAGTTTTCCAACTTCTCCTTCTGTACATAATTAATGTTTTTCTAGTGATTTCTAGTGATTTTTCTAATGAGAATCCTCACATTGCCCCAGAAACTTACACCTGTGTGGACGATAGTCACTACAGAGCTCTCGTGTTGTGAATGCCTTTGGCAGAATATGGATATAAAGAAATTTTTGGCCTTTCTAAGCAAAATTCCTGTTCCTATGAGAAGTTCTGCTGTGAGGATATGTTTGTATGATCAGATATTTTTCTTGTAAATATCTCTGGATGCCATGTGGAAATCCCCTAAAATCACTGAAGTTTTTCGTTTGTTCTTGAATCTTAGTGGTCTCTGGATCTGCTGCTTGGTATTAATGTGGGAGGGGACTAGGGAAAGAAAACGTGATGACTGTATGTTCAGAGCCTTTATTTGCCTGCAAGAAAGCTGGGGAGGGAGGCAGGTAGTGATAGAACAAGGGGTAATAATGGCTTTAAACTGTCAGAGGGGAGATTTAGATGAGATATTAGGAAGAACTTGTTTCCTGTGAGGGTGGTCAGACACTGGAACAGGTTGCCCAGATTTCTGGATGCCCCCTCCCTGGAAGTGTTGAAGGCCAGGTTGGATGAGGCTTTGAGTAACCTGGTGTAGTGGAAGGTGTCCCTGCTGATGGCAGGGGGGTTGGAACTGGATGAGCTTTAAGTTCTCTTCCAACCCAAACCATTCTATGATTCTATTATTTGCCGAGTTGAGAAACTTTAAAAAGAGTGAGCTGACTCACTGCATAAGCACCATTTGTCTTGTACATTCAGAGACAAAATGTCTTACTAGCATGGGTCATTTCATATTATTTTAGCTGTCGAAGATTCCAGAAGCAAAACTCCTCATAATCCTGAGGCTACCGGATAAAATGCCAAATGAGCACCCAAGCAAAGGCTCTGTTGCAATCAGCCTGCTGCGAGCCTTTTCCCTTGTCTTCTCTCTGGGTTCTGCCTCTTGCCATGACTGGTGAGTTTCTGTGTCCAGCTCATGAAGCTGACCCTACTCAGGCATTGTCTGTCTGCAGCTTGGGTGCTCTGCTGAACGGTCATCCTGAGATGTATTTAAGTGGATACTCCATATCCACTGTACCAAATCCAGGGGCATCTTGACCTGTGGCCACAAGCTGGGATACAATTTTTGGTTGCTCTGTAAACTGGCTCTCTCCAGAAGTATGTCAGTCCAGACCAGATCTTGCTATTCCGCATGATTTCCCACTTTCCTGGAACACAAAGGTCCTGTGGGAAAGAAGATGTATAATCACCTAATTAGGCGATATCATAATACCTATGCACAGTGGAGCAGAGTTAAAGATTTCCATGTTTCAAAAAGCATAGAATTGATTGACATTTTAGTGGCTCTGTGGAGGATGAGAGGAAATGATGTTATTTTCTTCATTCTTAGCTTTTTGAGGATCTGGTAGAGATACTTTCTTTCAGGAGGTGTTACAGGCCTTTTAGGAAAGAGTTGGCAGATCTAGGATCAGCCTACCATTTGTCTTCTGCCCTGTCAGGATCTTCCGACCTGAAGGGCAAACCCAGCATCTTGACTCAGGCTGAAAAGCAAAACACAGCGCTGTTCTAACTTCTGAGAAAGAAACCCAGCTCTGTTTCAGCTAAAAACCAGGGCAGGTTGACACAGTTATGAAGCCTTGTGTCTTGGGGAAATCAGACTAAACCACCTTTATCTCTGCTTCTTGCAGAGGAAGTAATATGTGATTAGCTGAATCTTATCTGTTGGTCTGGGATCTTAAAAGTTCTCCAAAGTGTGTTATGTATCTGTCTAATTCCATAAAGTGTCTAATTGGCATGCAGATCTGTCTAGAACTGGAAGATGTGTGAAATCACTTTTGGTAGTCAACTGCTTATTCGTTAAATGCCCGATGAGATGCATGTAGGACGTGTATCAGGAGTTCCGTGTATATTCTACTAGTAAAATGTCACCTCTCTCTAGACACTGTAATCTTAAAAAAAATAGCATGCAAATACCTTGTGAAAAAGGATAAAAGCCTTTGCTTTGAACATGTTCTTTGGAGACATTCTTGAGAAAATGTGTGTTGTGGAGGCAAATACCGCTGACAGTATTACATGCGTAGGAATCTCTTTGTCAAACGTGCAGTTTGCCTGATGAAAAGGTGTTTTGGGGATTTGAGAAATTCAAATTTGTTCTATTACCTTTGTTTTCTAACAGTTTAATTCTGCTGTTCTTTTTCACAGCTCCTAAAAAGAAACATTTAAGAGATTTTTGATTGTAGGTAGGTGTGTTTCTCAGTCAAGTTCCTCTGTGCATATATTCATAGAAGGCTTAACTGCTACACAAAGAGTTGAGTCTTGGTGAATATTTCTCTTTAATTTGTTAGTGGGTCAAAATCATGCAAATGTGGATTTCTCAGTTGATTAATAAGACCAGTTGATACTTCTGTTAATTAAAGCATGAAAAGGATATCTGGAATGCCTGCTGTCCCGAGTAATGTATTTGGAGGTGGAAGCCTGGCAGGTTTGATTTCATGGTGTCACAATGCAAGTGCAGACATCCGTGGAAAAAGAATCAACTGCTGAAAATAATCAAATATGAACTAATCACGATGAATGATGTTTTCTAAGGGAAAGAAGTGAGTGCTCTCATGCTGAGTAGAAAAAGACAAAACGTTTGGTTAGGGGTTTTTTGTGTGTTTTTTGAACTTACCATAATTGATGTTTAATTATTGAGGTTTTTTTGTTATGGAAGGAGTGATACTGCGAGGATTTGATGGCTTAGAGCTTTATAGGCCTAATTTGCTTTCTAGAGAAAAGGACTGAACACTGAGTTTGGGGGAAATTACTGTTTCTCTTTTGCAGACATTTAAAAAAAATATATAGACTTTTCATTGTGATAAAAATGGGAAGATTGAAGACTTAAGTAAATATTTTAGCCTTCAAGGGTTATTCAGTGGTCCTAAAACTAACTGGATTTTTATACAGTCCTAGAAACAAGACTAGTTTACTCTTTACCTGTAAAATTACTCTTCCCAAATCACATCTATATACAGTATTTCACATGTTTTTTGTTTTGCTGTGGGCAAATACCTTGGTGTAGATTTTCTCGTGATTTGAATTTACTAGTTAATTTTTTATATACTCATTTCCCAAAAAGCAAAATGAGAAGGGTAATTTCTCTGACACAACAGAATCGAACTGTGTACTGGCTCTTTCCAGATGGAATCACAGTGTAAAGTAAGAAACTTCTTTGAGGAGGAAAAAATGCAAAGATTTCCT